ATTAAAATTCTCTCAAAATATCAACTGGACAAATCCAAATTCTCAATAGCCTTACTCTTTAGTCTTAGATTTCTATATCAAAGGACTATGACTAATCTAAACTCGACAATAAAATAATTAATAAAAATGCAACATGTATTCATATAATTTTGCACGAAATTACCGTATCTTTAGTTAAATCTCATGCAGTAATTTGCCAAGACCAATATACAGCAATTTGCAAATTAGTGACCCTAAACGTGGTTAAAGCGTATCTTTTTTAAAGGCTGTTACCACCTGGAAGCGCTAATTAATTCGGGCAAAATTGTCCATCAATTAACGGAAATATACTGCACAAGTAAAAAATAGGACAAATTTTTAAAAAAACCCATTTTTTTAATTTATTAAGCAAAAACGACCACTAAAACTTTTAATGAGCAAAACCGACCCTTTTGAGGAGAGAAGGGTCGGTTTTGCAGCATCTGAACTGTACGGGACTAATAGTCCCGTACAGTCCGTACAGTTCGTTTTAATCCCCCGTTCCCACCAAAGATTTTAATCAATCCCATATCAGTCCAATGCAATTTAACAAAATTCTCCCTTGGCTTAAACCCGAATGCAAGATCAAGCACATTCCCCACAAGAGAGTAACTCCAATCCTTAGAACTTTCAAGCCATTCATCTTCCTCAATAGAGACTATATCATTCCAACAGACTAAAAAAACTCAAGAGAAAGGCCAGAACCCTTCTATTATCCTTGGATAGTGAGCGTCAGTCCGATCGAGTATCAGATTGACTACTGTTACCTTGTTTTGCTAATTGATCAGCATCAATGTCGTTTGAAGCCGAAATTTGGTCGGCAACAGTGCTTTTTGAAACCTCAAGAGCAAAATCCCCATGCGACTGTTGATCGGTCTCAGATTCAGACGATGAAGAGAGCTCCTCGTCAACTGTCGTGACCCAATCTGAAGGACAAGTTTAGTTTGAGAAAACCCCATGATCTTCCTCAAGTTCGAGCTAATCACCCTGAAGACCACTCCCCGATCTAGAAGCCACGGGAGATTAAGAGGTCACGGAAGAGGGGGTCGGGTGGGGTGAGATGAGAACGGAGGAGAGAGAGGGGGGGAGGATGAGAACGGATGAGAGAGATGGTGGTTGGGAAATTAAGAGGTCACGAGAAAGAGAGGGGGAGGATGAGAACGGAGGAGAGAAAGGGGGTTGGGAACGGGATTAAAACAAACTGTACGGGACTACTAGTCCCGTACAGTTCAGATGATGCAAAACCGACCCTTCTCTCCTCAAAAGGGTCGGTTTTGCTCATTAAAAGTTTAAGTGGTCGTTTTTGCTTAATAAATTAAAAAAATGGGTTTTTTTTAAAATTTGTCCTAAAAAATACAATCAAAATACCTGAAGGAATCTCAGGCGACCGCCGCCACTTTGATTTGCAAAGGGCGCTGTTATACCCAGCATCACGAAGACGATCAGTTACATATCTAAGCGCACAATTCCGTCGGCATTCTTTCAAACAATCACAGATCGAACCACAAGATTCCATTTTTTTAATCGCCTCCTCTGTATCTCTCTTGATCCTCACCTCCGTCGAACTCCGACGAGATAAAGCTTCCTGAATTGATCGGTAATCCATAGTTAATCTCACAATACACCAACCCTAATATTTTACCAGAAAAGGCAAAAAAAGAGAGGAGAAATTTACTTGGAGAAGCTGATGCTGTGATTCCCAAAAAGCTTTTGTCTCCTCAGTATCGATCTCTTCTTCATCGCTGCTCAACTGATCGATTTCCTCTCTCTTTTGAGCTTCATGATAAAACTCATCGAATTCTTCGAATTGAAAGAAATCCGTGGTCATTTCCGGAAGAGTTTTTCCCTTCTCGGAAATTCTAATTATGTCGTGCGCTTGGATTTGTAAGAACTAGAAAGGTTTATATAGGAGGAATTTGGGTAAAGTGGGTCCCGCGGGCTCCAGCGTGGACGAACGGGGCGCCGCGAACATGCAAGTGACATCTCTTGTGGTGGGCCCAGGTTAGCGTGATTAAATAGAGTCGTAATTTTGGTTGGAGTTTTTTCAGTATTAGTCCGTTAATTAATATCAATATTTTTCAAACATTTGTTCCGCAAATCGCTTAAATTTACCTCAGGTCACCAATTCTAGTTTTCTTAAATCCGTTATTGAATTTATTTGAAACAATCTATAGATTTGGACGCCTAGTATTAATTTCCATTATGCCACTCACACTATTTTTAAAATACCAATGCTCTATTCGGATATAATGATGTTTTACTTGTTTTATAGTATTTTTGTTAAAAATAAAGCACGATGTGTTTGAAAATTATTGTGTTTTTAACATAAATCATCATCAAACAAAAAACACAACACTTAAATTTGGTGTTTTGATTTTGAGTTTGAAGATGTGTTAATATAATATCTCTATAGTAAATGTAATTAATATATAGTTATCGACATGCTTATTATATTATTTTATATTATATTATACTATACTATATTATAGTTAACCTAACATACAAATAATATTCATTAAATAATATAAAAATATAATAATTAAAATATCTTATATAATAATATAATAACACATTAAATACTATACATATTTAATAATAAAACAATAATATAATAATATTATTATAATAATATATTAAATATTTTATACTATATAGAATATTAATATATTATATAATAAATACTATATTATATTAGAAAGTAAAATAATTTATAATGCTAAAATAATATTTTGCTAACAAATGTTAATGTAAAAATAATATATTCATGATATGCTAATATTTATTTATATCATAAACCATTAGTATATTATTAAAATATTATTAATAAATCCTAACATATTAGAAACTATTGATGTTAGTTATCAAACAGAGGGTTATTTAAGAGTTTGTGGAGTGATTAAGGTCCTCTAACTCCTTCTGATAAGTGATTCTGGAGCTAGTTGTTCTTCCCTGCACATGAAGGAACTCGTAAGAGGGCGGAGTTTGGTTCTCCAGTTGTTCCTCGGATGATCAAGTCATTATGTTATCTTGAGTGGAAAGTATAGAGTTAGTTCTTAATTACGTAAAAAAGCTAGATAGAGTTATCTCATGCAGTGCCACTTTTTTTAGTGGGTTTGAGAGGCAAGAAGGTAACTTGAGCCGAGTCTAGCTATGCAGCTGAGTCAGCAGACGTGTGCCATGTGTCGTCTGTTGAAAGAGATGAGTCACCTGGTCATTTATTGTGAGAATGACAGTAGATGCTTGGTGCTCACTAGGTCCGGTGAGTCATAAATACAATATAGTCTAGAGCAATGATGATGTTGTCAAGGCATTTAATGCGAGAGTAATTAGTTGATAAAAGGTTCGAGGTAACTGCCGTCCTTCGACTCATCAGGTCCAGCGCCGAGAAGTACCACCTTTTGACTCGGTTACGCAAGATGTCGGTTGAACAATGGGCCGCGTCGGATCACTTGTGGAGTCAATTGAGTGATTGGCCGAGTAGTACCACCTTTTGACTCGATTACACGAGATGCCGAGATAGTACAAGTCATTAGCATGATTACCAGAGTAACTTATCGTGTGCTGGCATGACTTCCTAGGTATAATTTTGTCGTCATGTGAGGAATACGTTTCCTTCCGGAGACATAGTGCCTTGTTGGCGTTCTCAAGAGTCACATGTTTAGAGCCACGCCTTCGTGAGCGTAGAGCCTTAACGGGCTCCTAGACTTCGACTCGTAGTCCAATACGGTCAGTTACAGAATTTTTTCCATTATGGGAGGTCTTCAACTTGTTATGAGGGAATGTGCGACCCCTAGCGCGATGAGTCGCTCGGGGTTCATTCACCAGACCCAAGCATTCATTGATCAAAACTTTGCCTCGATCCTCATGCAAAGGACTAAGGCGATCCGCCATTTCTTAAATCGGGAGAGATTCACGCTACTGTGGGACTTCACTAGAGGTACAAGATCAACTAGGACAAGAGCGGAACTCGACAGAAGTGGGGAAATAGCCGTGGGAGCCTGACTGGGTCGGCTCCGGTGTGGGTCACCTTGGGGTGACTCATGGCTGGCCGGGTCACCTTGGCATGACCCGTGTTTTTTAGTCTTCTTGGTCGCTGTTTTAGACTTGGGCCTCCATATTTGGCGTGGTTTTAGTGGGTTTTTGGCCACCTCTTCCTTTTACAATTTATGTGCCTCTTGTACGAGGTTCTGTGCGTACACGAGTAGTGCGTGACGCTTCTGAATACGCTCATCGAGAGTCAAACAGGTCCTTTTGACACAGACCCATTCATCGGTTGATGGTTTGGAGGAAGAGCCATTTGCTCGCTGTCGAGGTTCTTGGCGTTTCCTGAATTCCAGATCCGCCTTATAACGAATCTCGTCAACCGGCTCCAAGGCCTAAACTAGTTGACACGCGAGGCGTTGCCTTTGACGAGCCCTCTTTGATAGAATTGGCACGCCTTCAGCACGTAACTCCTTGATTAAGGAGGAGTTCAAATCTGCAGATTCGGCTTCATTGGACGCCAACTGGGCATTGTAAGGTGCAACAGCAGCAGCAATGGGACGATGATCATCGTCCTGGGTCTTCAGATATAAAGACTAACATACCTTACTGGAGGAAGAGATCTTCATGCACTTGCGAGGGGAGGAGGATCTGGAGGAATATGACATGTATTCCTCGTACTTCTGTTGGTCGAACTCGTACTCGACCTCTGTATCAACCGCGATTAGGATCCTTGGTTGCAACACTACAGCCTCGGTAGAGAGGCTTTTGACTCCCACTGTGCTCGTCAGCGTGTTTAGTTCGAAAGTTGGTTTCTTCATTGAATGACTCATTACAATTTTAGTCGTTACAATAAGTTTAAAAGGAAGGACTTTTTATAAGACTCCTTACAGAATGAAAAAAAGATTATAACTTTCTTTAAAAACACACGCAGATGATGTTTATCACTCGCTACTCGCGTGAGGTCTTTACCTGTATCAGGATTTATCCGTGGACCACCGGGGATCAGATCCGGTTGATCGAAAGGCTAAATGTTCATTACTTCACAAAAGGAAACAAGGACAGAAGTAAATAATCTCAACCAAGTGAGATCACTACTCTTCTCAAGATCAGTACAAATTGTGATCTCAAGGAATGACGAAACGGGTCTCAGATCTCTCGAAACACTCATTCTTTATGCCGGAGTTTGCCAAAATCTGCTAGCCCTCCTCTGAAATTCGTGGGATTCACTCTCCAAACCAACGACACATCTCCCTCTTTTCAGAATTTCATATCCCATGCGTATAGGACCTTAGGCTTGTATTTATAGGCTTTAATTACGGTATTTTTGGATAAGAATAAGCGATTTGACATCATCTTTAGTTAATAACGGCCTAACCACGTTAATGGATGATATCCAAGTAGTTGGGAGGCTCCAGAACGAACAAATCCCGAGAAAACATCGAAATACGTGTTTTCGGGAACCGGGGTGCGAGTCAGTTCAATGTGACCCGCGGGTGTGCAGGTCACATTAAGGTGACTCGCACGAGAGCGAGTCACATCAACGTGACTCGCACGGGTGCGGGTCACTTTGATGTAACTCGCACACTAGCGGGTCGCTTTGATGCGATTTTAAAGCGACTATGTCTTGTTTTGGTCTTGTTCTGTCGTTTCACGGGTTTGTACATTTCACCGGCTCGCTTTACGCGTTTCGTTATTGTTTTCGCCAAAAGTCGAATTTGTTGTCGAATTCATTATATCTTCGGTCGATTACAATAAATTCAAAGAAAACAGCCTTTTTATAAGACTCTTTTACACAACAAAAAGAAAATTACAACTCTTGAGAAAATAAACGCAGGATCGTTGTTTGGATCACTGCTTTCGTGGGATCTTTGCCTGTGCCGGGAGCGCTTTGACTCGTGGACCACCAAATCACAGATTCTGATTGAACCGTGAGGGGTTTATGATTCTGACTTCGTTTATCGAAGTGAGAAATTGAAACGATATCTTATCGATGTAAGATAGTCGTTCTTCTTGAAATCAAGTCAAAGCCTGATTATCAAGGATTGGCCGTAAGATCAGCACCTCTGCTCTCTCTCTGCTCTGGATTGCTCTGGATTGCTCTGAAGTACTCACAATGATCAGCCCCCTGGAAAAATGGCCTTAGGAGGGTATTTATAACCTCCAAGAACAGTTGGCAGAAAACAGGTTCGCGAGACAGCTTTTGCTGTCTCGACGGGCGAGACAGTGTTTGCTGTCTCG